TCGTAATTATTATAGTTTGAGGGATCTGAAAATGCGACAGGTTTCCCAAATCTAGCCGTGCAAAATCATTTGGAAATCTGACCTTTTTGTTTTGGGTCTTTTCTGATAAACCACTAAATACACTTTTTTTTCGGACATATGTAATAATTTTTTTTTAGTTGAATTCTTGCATTGCATTCCTTCATTCATTACTTACATGAAATTATCATGAAAGTATCCAAAGATACCAAAATGAAGATGGCCAGGAATATTAAGAAGAAAGAAACGAACAGAACGTGTACTTGAACACGGCTCTTCAATTTCTCATTTGAGCCGACATTCTTTAAAACACAGCGGACATGCTTGGCAAAGTCACAATAGTTTAATAATAGTTTTAAAATAGTTTAAAATGGCCGAAACACACATGCGCGCACGCGCGTGTGTATGTGTGTGTAAGAGAAATATTGGGGAAAAGTGTATGATAAAGTATAAAAGATGTTTTTCTGTCACAGGTTTCGTCATTTAGGACTTAAGTAGACTTCATTTGTTATATTGCTGCGATTACACATGGATACGAACGAGGGACACTGGGATTTTTTTTTCTTCTAACCGATTTCATTTAGATTATTTTTTTTTATTTTATTGTTTCTTTTTCTTTCCATAACTTTTGTTATTAGATATCTCACAATTTGAAAATAGAAGTTCTGCCAGGAATAGTGAAACGTTGTAAGAACACCGGTGTAAATTTACTGCGGATGACCTTGCGATCAATGCACTTTCTAATTATTTTCGTCGGAGTGAATTCATTTCTTCTTTGATCAGAGTAGCATTTTTATGTCAAAATTATCAGTCACGTTACGGTGGACATCCACTACACACAAACACACACACACACACATATTTGTGCGTGTGTGTGTTTGTGTGTGAGAGAGAGAGAGAAAGTGAGAGAAAGAGATCAAGAGAAGATTAATACGAATAAAATGTTTTAGTTGATTAGCGTTATCTTCAGGATCTCGATTCTACAGATTTGTAAACGTACCCTCCAGTAGTCACTCCGTCCACTTGTCAGGAGATATCAACAATTGATTGTTCATATTTCTTGATTTTCTTTCATATATACACTATTCTTTGGAACAAGTTTAATTTGTTTTTCCCTTTCATCGTTTTGTGTTTGTGGGCGTTATTGCATGTGCGTGTTCGCACGGATGCATTAGTGATGGTTCTCACCATCTATTAAATCCCTCTTTCTGATATTTTGTGCCCTTCCCTTATAAATATATCCAAATTTGAACATCTATATAGTTAGACTATTCAGAATGTCATGTACATGTACAGAGTGCGATGGATAAATTGTTGTCATTTTTTATCTTTATTTCTTGTATGCGCGTTGATTATTGTTGATTTTGTCTTCTACACTGTATAGTAGGGTCAGTTGGGCACCGTCTGTGAGAAATAAAAACACCATGACGCACTTCGTTCCGCTAGATGTCTTGAAGCAGCATGCTGTACTGCTTGGCATTCGTGCCAGAAGCTCCAATACGACCATTTCAGAGTGTTTGAGTGCCAATCTGAGGACTCCGCAGAGGATTCGGAAAGAGTTGGATGTGTCTGATTGTGATTACGAAGATTTTTTGGAGTGACAGCTATTAAATGCCGACGTTATGCCCATATTCATATTCCCACAAAACCTCAGACATCACGAATGCCTACATCAAGTAACTTTACGAGATTTTGCTGCCCTGAATGTAGACTTTGGCTACTGGAAGACCCTATGTCTAGCTACAGGACTGTGCACCATGCCACACCAGCAGTAGAATCCAGTCAAGGCTGTCGTATAATTTCTGCCACCACACCACCCGTTACATCTGGACACCCTAACTCCTCAGGCTGCAACCCACTTGATTATTATGTGTGGGGCGCAGTTGAATGAGAGAATAACAAAACCTCAAAAAATGAAACTGTTGTAGAGTAACGAATCCCTCGTCGCCAATGTGTTGTAGAGTAGTTTTCACAGCGGAGGCTTGTATTTCACTAAGTCCGTCCTAAATTTGGTTCGACGTACAAAACGTTAGGAACTTGAAATAATAGTTAATGACGCAGCAATCTAGTTGGGGTGGTTGATACTTTAATGTCCGACATCGACTGACTCACCAACTCACTCTGAGCTCCCAGGCGACTGCTATTACTAATACTTTTTATATCTAGGAGAGTCTATTAACAATAGAATAGGTATGTTCCAGTATAACAGACATGAAGGCAAAGATTATGGCAGAATACACAAACGTAAAGAAGGAAACCGCTCAGATGAGTTGCAGAAGAATGTGAAGTCGTCTGGAGGCCGTGATTCAAGCTAAAACGATTTTATTGAATACCTTTACTTTTTACTATTTCAAGAGAGTTTGTGTAATGTTGGTAAATATATCTGTTAAAATGAGATGTCCGTGTTATTTTATTTTTGCGTAATTTACACGATAATTTATACATCGCACCTGTATACAGATAGATAAAGAGATAATTTATGAAAATTTATAATCAGGATTTTTCATAAATATGATATATGCGTGAATCATACGTATATATTATAGATGAGTGCTGAGTTATATGAGATATCTTATTTATTTTTGTTTTTTCTTTGTCCATGAAAGCCTCACTAAGGCAACTGATGCATGTTTTTATCGACGAAATAAGAATATCATTTCTTTTCTCTACCAGCATTTGTATATGTATGCGTTAAGTTCTGTTTGTCAAAAGCAAGGAAATAGACATACCGAACAACATTTCGATAAATACGATTATGCCTACAAGTATTTCCAGTTGTCATGTTACGAACTTTTTACTTCTTGGAATATGTGCGGCTTTATTTTTTTTTACCAAATTGCCTTGGGAAATAAGTGAAATCTAACATAAGGAATGTAAGACGCCTATCAACATCTTGAGACGTTTACCCATAGCCAACGGTGACTTCAATTAGGCGCACGAACTTCTATAGTAAGGACGTTGACGTCGTTGTAAGAATTGGAGAAAAAATCGCAATAAACTCATAGAGCTGCCTAAAGCCAATCTCAAACCCGACGAAGAAAAACCTTAGGAAAGAAACTTAGCTGCATTTTACACATGATACATGAAATAAATAAATAATATAAAATAGCATTTCTATTCTATGCGACATTTATTTTGTTTATATTGTAAAGAAATATATATGCATATTCTGTTCTCAATCTAAAACGTATGTCAAAGATGTTCATATTTTCTTGTGTAAATTATTCAGAAATGGTCACAATATAAACGCATATGTATGCTTACACGGACATACGCACAAACACACACATACATACACAGACACACAAACACACACACACATATATATATATGTGTGTGTGTGTGTGTGTGTGTGTGTGTGTGTGTGTGTGTGTGTGTGTGTGTGTGTGTGAGTGCGATATCTAGAGTTACAGATCGAGCATCGCAATTCTTGTCTAAAACTTGACAGGCCAACTTGGTGATGTCCGTTAATACATTGGTGTAGTCCTGGAGAAACGGGTGTTATATTGTTTGCCCAAAAGGAGGCCGTGTTAAGTAAAATGCATAACCAATTCCGCGTTGATTAAAGCCTGGATAACTTTGCCAAAAATAACTATGAAATTAACAAGGCCATTTTGTGAGAGCCATCACTAACAGATAATACAGAGGACATCCAACAAGCTAGAAAGCAAGTAACAGCTACTCATTTATCGTAAAATTTGGAAAGAACAGAAGCCAGTTCAAGGGAACATTTCATTAGGACTACAGCCAAATCCGCATGCCTTGTGAGGATCTAATTTAGAAATAGCGAAAACCAAAGAAAGATATGAGCATATAACCCCAGATGAGTTGAATGTGTCGTTGGAAAAGAATTCCCGGGCAAAGCACTCAGCTTTGTTTCAAGCAGATATCAATACTTCAAATTTATTGAAGAGAAACGGGACTGATGAACATTCGCTGGTTTTAATACCCAAATACAATCAATACACTTTTTGATTCCAATGTATTTGCATTACGGATATGTTCAATTGATTTTACGACAATTCAGCCTCATCAATATTAAATTTGTCAGGTGGATCATGCAAAAATCAGACTTGCAAACCGTTTTAAAATAAACTATCCTCACCAAGAATCCTGATAAAAATTTCTTTTGCATAAGGCATTATTATTTGACCACGTAAATCATACATTCTTCGCTTGGTTTTCTCTCAAATTATGTCACCATCAACTAGGTATTATACTACAAATGGAATTTTCTGATTTGCATTTTATTAATGCTTCGCGAGATAAAACGACGATTTAATTTTGTTGCATTTGCTGCTTAGTGATAAAATGAAGGTAATCTCATGTTTATGGCGTAAATAATAATAAAGCTTCACCTTTTTGATAGTTAAGCTTTTTTTGTTTCGCATTCCTAACATATGGTAAGGCAAAGTCTAGTAAAAAAAAAAAAAAAACTTAACTGTTTGTATCCATAGCAAGAAAATTAAATATTCCATTCCAATAGTTTATTCAAAATAGGTATTTCCCCTCAGTTAACTTGATCAGAATCAGCGAAGCAAAATCATATACATTCAGTTTAGCTTAAAATGTTGGAGGATATCAATGGATGTAGATATTTCCATTTTCTTAATAAAATACTCGTCGTTGTTTTTCTTTCTTTCTTTATTGCAAGTGATTATTTTGCACAAATATATTTTTCTGTTGAGTAAGACGTTATTTTTTATTCATTTGTTCTTGTTATATCAATCATTCTGTGAGTTATTTAAAGCCGAAACATACTTCGGTTTGTAAGGATACATTTTTTTTATAAATCAAGCTTCAACTATTTGAGGATAACAATGATTTTCTCAAATAAAAGTCTCATTATTTAACTTATTATTTATTATTTAAGCTGGGTAGGGGAGAGATGAATTTATACTTTTAGTGACTATAAAACCGACTGAATTTCGAATCCGGCTTCTGATCCACTGTCCACAACATAATCTTTACATCTGAATGAGGCGTGAAGTAAAACTGTTTAAACTTAAAGAACAAATGTCCTCCCCTCTTTATTCTTTCTTCTCTTGAATGATTCGACAATAACAATTTCATTAAAATTAATTTCAAACACTCTACTTTGAAACAAAATAATGTACTGGAAATATAACAATAATTAGAATATAATTCATAAAAAATATCGTAAATTTTATGAAGACATCATGTTTGCAAGGTTATTCAATTATGAATATAAAACATTATCGGCCGTGCAATTAAAAATTACAGATAGGTTTAATATATAAAAAAAATGTTCACTCTGTGTTTGGAATCGTTTTGAAGAGTGGCTGGTTCAATATTTTCAATATTTTGCAATCATACCAAAAATCAATTCATTAATCTTATGGTATATCGAAAAGAGAATAACGCATAGATATAATACATAAATATTTCATTATTATCTTTTATAGTCTTCAATTGAATGTCTAGTAATTTTCAATAGCAGTCATATCTTACATGACAGTATTTTTCAGTGTGATAATTGAGATATGTTTTATAAGTTTTATAAAGCAGTAACAACGAAACTATGGCATTCAGTATAACTATTGCATCTATCTAGATTTAATTTGGAACAGAGATATGCGTTAAGTAGTGTCGTATTAATATACCAGCATATTTCTCTTTCTGTCATGGAATCTGACACAAATATCTAAAATATTGAAGTTTAATTGGTATGGCCACATTGCAAGAGCTGAAAATATTATGACTATCTCAAAATTTACCATCTTAGGCAAAAATGGCAGACGGTACAAAAATGCACTGACAACCTCACGGAGTAGAGAAAAAAATCATTAACAGTGAATCAGACAATGCAACACAGTGCAGCCGTTATGCTGCCAGGTGCTCTACTATGCAGCCATAGAAAAACTACCCCCAGTCATAGGATTGACGATTATCATCTATATTATATATCTGAAAGCGATTTTCAGTGTTCCACCGAGAATTAGCAATTAGAAACTAATATAATAACTCATTTTAAATATTCCTCCGAATCATGTTTTGAAAATGTATTAAATTCCATTGAAATAATGTATTAAATTATATCCATGTTAATGTACAACAGATCTTTTTTTACTATTACGATTTCAAGGATGTGGTCAAATGACTATTTCCCATCCTAGTGATGGCATCTCACTAAAATAATAGGAATGTTTTGTTTTCAAAACAGGGTCAGCACATTGTGGCTGTGTTCATAGTTGATATAATTATGTGTTGGATATTGATTTTTATAGATATAATTTGTTTGATGTTACTTTTGAAATGGCTACATGTAAAGCCATTTCTACGATAATAGTTCCTACCCCCGGGCCTAATGGGAACTCATTTCCGGCTCCATGCTGTCAAGTCAACATTGATCTTCAGAAATGTATATGCAATGCCAATTTTCATTTCAAATCTTGGACTTGATTCTTCTTTTTCTAATATTTTAGTACACAGTAACCCCTTGCTTCTTCGTGGTTTTATTGTCCTGCTTAGTGTGAAGTATTACTCTGTCTCTGTCACCCTCTCCCTGCATAGAAAGAGAACAGATTAAAATCGTTTTTGTCAGCCCACTGTCTTCTTAACTGAGCAATGGTGAGAGGAAAATCATTCAGGCCTTCAGTAATGGTACAAACATTCATACTCCGGCCTCTATCTTCAAAGTCCATTCAAGAACCATCAAGAGAACGATGAATAAGTTTGAAAAGATGGAGAACAGTAGAGAGAAAAAACTGGATCAGGTGGTCACAACAGGATATATATATATATATATATATATATATATATATATATATATATATTAGTTTTTACGATATATATAATATATATATATATATAGTAATACTTAACAAATAATATATATATATATATTTACGCACACACACACATATATATATATATATATATATATATATATATATATATATATATATATATATATATATATATATATATATATATATGCACGTGTGTTCAATGATATATCCTAAGTATGTATTTGATCAATAGCTATATATATAAATGGAGGATCATTCATTTTTTTCACATTATAATAATAAAATGTTTTCATAACTCACGTAGTATTATTAGATCTACATTCTGTCGCAAAATATTTTCCTTAATAATTTCTAGAACATCTTGCAAATAACATTATCTCCATGAAAATGTTTGTGTAAATTATGTTGTATAAAAAGATATTTTTAAGATGATTGTAAATCTGAGCAAAAGTCTTTCTGTTTTTTTTTTTTATCTTATACAAGTATTGATACGTCGAAATTGTAAGTAAATTTTCTCAAGTCCAGATACCAGAGCTAAGTGATTTTATTTTGAATTCCTTCATCGAGAAATGCAATCACAACAACTCATCCCTATATTATCAAACGTGGTTATTAAGATGTATTTCGCATATATTAAGGAAAGTAATTCTTGTATAATTTAAGATTGTTTTAAAATAATTTCTTACGCATTGGCAATTATTTTCAACTCACAATTTTAATTTGAGAAAATAATTGTCAAACAATGTGTTAAGTACATTTGTATTATCGACTTTTATATTAATCGTTTTTTTAATTTATGCAATCAGCTTAAGAGATTTGATACTGCTTGTTACACTAAATATTCCTTAACGGCATCAATGCTGTAAACATAATAAATAGACAATTCAGAGTTGGTTATAAAGATATTCATGTTTGTGTTATGCCACGTGAAGAGAGAATTAAATTATATATATTGTTAAATAATTAGAACGCTTTAATTAAAGTTAACATTTTATCAATTAAAATATTGGGCATATTTATCTTCATCAATAGTTAACATTTTTAATTATATTTTATGTGTATTTACAATTTAGCTTTGTAATTTATTTTTAATAAGCATTTGTTTCATACCTTTTTTAATCTCTGTACCATTTCATGAATATATATAAGAGTTTATTAACGAGTAGTGCAATAATTCTTATAACAGTCGACTTTCAGTAATAAGAAAGTATTACTTTCTAATAATAGACTCTGCAATACACACAAATGCACTATAGAATTTCCATTCTCTTAATAAATTATGCAGCAGGGCAAATCAGTGTATGAATAAATGGAAGAAAAATAACATTACAACACATTAAATGACTATGCCGTTTTAGATCTGATTGTATTATATACACGTTACGCGCTAGTAACATTAGAATTATCGTAGTCTTCATCCATCTTCTGATACTGGAACACATAATAGTACACCGTTTGAGCATGCTTTAAACCACGGTACATGCAGTGATAAGGCTCAGTATAGAGATATAATCCGGTGCTGGCAACTCTGAAAAACCCAAGGAAGTAAATATACATATTTTCAAAAGAAGCGTGTAAAAGGGGACTGACCTTGAACAATCAAAATACTGAATAATTATTTCAGATAATTTATTCGTTACTTACACAAGACACACTGGTTGTTCTTCGATCATATCAAAAGAATATTACTACAGCCTGAGAGCAGTTTTTGGATGTCCGCGAAATATTGACTTTGTCCAAAATCTATCCATTGAAAAAGCAGCAATCGCAGACATGACATTCCCTGTGCATAACAAAGAAAATTTAGATGCAGTTTCTTCATCACAGACGTGTGGGTAACATTTAATGCAACTGGATTAAAGTATTCTTTCGTTGAGCCAAACATCCACTCAGCCCAACAAAATGTTCTGCACGCTTTCATCAGAGGCAGACCAAGTGGAATAAATAAAGTCGACAGTAATGAAAATATTTTTTATTTTCAAGCAAGTAATCATTTCCGAAGTTTCTCGACATTTGCAGCTTTTACCTGAAGAATCTATTCAAAATATCCTTCAGATTTGTGGGCGAAATTTGGATCAGCATCATGTAGGTTTGTGTTTTGCTGAGATAGGGAATTTTGTATCCTACGACGTCCATATATGATCCAATATCCGGTTTCTCAAGATTCCGATGAAATGTGTAATTAACCTCAGGTTATGCATGGGGATTGGTAAATGTGCTACTGACGAGTTACACCTCCAGAAAAAAAAAAAAAAAAAATTAAAATATTTAATAAATCGCACCAAGCAGTAATAACTATTTGGCCAGTCAATGTTGGATTTTTCATATTCTCCTGTTGCCAATAAAATCTGTTTCGTTGAACATGTGAATTGATTGAGCTAATGTTGCTACATGACTTAATTCTTGCCTATCTCACACTGCGAATTTTTTCTAAGCTCTATACTAAACATTAAATCTGTTATGAAAAGAACTAAACAAAATGAACACAAAATGATCAGCTTTAAAAAAAATTCGAAACAGGAAAAACCGAATGAAAAAATGAATGTTAAGAACAAATACTTTTTCACACCCAATACAGTTCGGCGGAATCAGAATCAACGTTGATTTTAAGCAAGCGAATGAGCCAATTGGAGTAAAGTGCCATGTAGATTCAAATTTTCCCACTTTTGACGAATGCAGCTATCGAGTTTTTTTGCATGCTAGTATGCTAGTTAACATTCGTGTCAGTCAGCTGTTGGCTCACACGCTGGCCAATAGAATATTCCTGCCTATTCGTGGCAGCCAGATATAGGCTCTCACTCTGGTTAGTAGAAAATGACCTCTAACTACATGAAAACTGCCGTAGAAGCATGAAAAAAATCGATTATTCCCACTATCGATGAGAGTTGGAAAATGCAAAGTCGGTCTTGGCTTTCCCGCCAACTTGGAGCATGTGCATGTAATTTTCGACTGAGTTATTCTGAGAATTATTACACTGTATGTAAATTCAGATATGAATAACGTTCATATAAAATCTATATCTAATTAGAGGGATGGTATACTTATGTAATATATATTCTCAGTTGTTAATTGCGTCAACGAAAATACTGTTTCACCTTTTCATTGTTACGCGTTGTTAATTATTTTTCTTTTACTTTCCGCTGAATGTTTATTTGTATTCTTCCTTATCATTGCCATTATTTTGACATGACTTCTCTTTCTAATATTTTCCTCTTCATCACAGGATAAACTTCACTTTGTTCCTTTCAATGTACATTCTTTGAAAATATTCCAATA